ATTAGTTACCGTCAATACTAAATATTTTATATAAATATTAAAATTAATTGGTTTAGTTTACGGAAATATAAAGTTTAAAGTAAAGTAACAAATTACAAATATTTGAAATCAGCCAATCAAATAGCTATATAATAATTAATAGTATATATTATACTAATATCATTTAAGTATAATACAAGTATAATACCTGTATTATACCAATAGTATAATACGGTATTAAGAATCTTAAAAACCCTAGAGCCAATACTATCATTCTCATGTGATTAATTTTATATGCAAAAATTTTGAAAAATTTCGATTTTTGCAAAAAATTGATTTCTTTTGAAAAATTGCTTTCGAAAAATTTTTCTGTCACTGATTGGGATGCATGATTGATCACGTGGGTACTAGACCCATATTTAGAAATTGATAATTAGTACATAAATTTCTCATTAACTTTCTCATACCGATACTGTATTCGTGTTTGATTTAATCAATAGGCCGTTTCTTATTTGGATTAATGTCTTTTACTTAGATTAATTCTACTGACAAGCATAATTTATTAATCGATGTATTTGATTCATCTCTTATCAGTGCTGATTTGTTTAATAAACAATCTCTTATTCAAATATTTATTGCAGTTTGCAAAATCATGTGAAATTTGCAGATCAAAAAAAAAAGAAATCGATGATTTTTGAATCTGATTGCCGATTTCTTAACCATTTTTTGCAGAAATAAAAGTTGTTTATTCATAATTTTGTAACATATTTTGATTTGGCATCTTTCGTAGGAATATAATTTTGTAAAGAAGGGATCGTCTAAAGCGAAGCGGAATCTCGTGATATGTGACCAATCAAAATATAGAATTTTGACGATCGCCGGCGAAGCAAAACAAGAAGAAAAACGAAAAACTTGAAAAATACGAAAAACAACAGTCTAAACCTACTTTGGGTATGCTAAGTAAAAATGACGGGAGGACTATTTTCCACATATAATTATTTAAATCCTGCCCTAACCTTAATCTAAGATAACCCTAACCCTGAAGTTAATAAAATATATATTATAAGAATCTACTCCGCTTTAGGAATCCCCCCATAATTTTGCAAACCGAAATAAATAATAAATCGCTTCTTATTAAGTTTCTTATCGTTTATAAAATTGATTTAACTAATGCTTATAACGATTTGATTCTTATAATGATCTGCTGAAAATTTATTGTTATGTACAAACTGTTGATTTTTTCTAATTTGATTTTAAATTTTAGCCTTATCTGAACTTAAAGTTGTAGGCCTACTTACACTTGTATATTGTATTCTAAAAAAATTATTAAACCTTATTATCAAAGTTTGTTACGATAAATAAAGTTAATTACTTATTTAAATTTCCAGCACAGTATAGCAATAGTTTTGTGTAGTAGTTTCATAATCGTATATAATATGGATAGAAATGCAAATGCTAATATTAACAAACGCATACGTACATATATAAGCGATCATTAAAAACCTCCGAATATTCATATTCATATTCATATGCTGTAGCGCTATGCATTGTTCCCGATACGCATCTCTGATACTATACAGTGGTCTTTGCATTGTACGATTCGTCAATCGAACGTCATAAAAATCATACGATAAATTTCATTGGACCAATCTATTGACACCGCGATTACGTAATCGAACCAATCGGATCGTATGATTAAAAAACTCGTTACACACTATGACTTCATAATCTAACTCTAAACAAAATCCGGTTTCCCAAACTTTTTTTTTTTAATAAAGTTTTTTTTTTTTTTAATTATCAGCATGATTTTAATCACACGTATGTACGTACGTACCTTTACGTAATTCTTGTAATTTAGTTATTAAACTGATTAAACACAGTAACGTTTCACTGCATTTTAATATTTATGATATATATGGCTATAAAAAATTTGGTTTATAAGTACGTATGTACGTACGTACGTACAGAAAAATTCTTAATTCTTTTAAAAATGATAACGTTACCAAATGAATGCCTTTTTGAAATATTTGATAATCTTAGAACTAACTATGGAAGTTTATTTTCATGCCTTCTTGTAAACCGTCAATGGTGTAGAATTATTATACCAATATTATGGAGTGAACCATCAGGTTATTTTGATGATGTAAGACTCCTAAAAATATTTCTTTCAACACTTAACACTGAAGAAAAATCATTATTAACACCTTTTAAAATTATTCTTCCAAATTATTCTAAACCATTATTTGAATACACAAGTTTTATTACAATTATTCATACTAATTATTTAGGCATTGGAATCAAAAATTGGCTTCATGGAGTGGATAAACCTTGTCATTCAAATTATCGTAGAGATAAAAATCTTGTAGATGCCATTAAATGTTCTTTGATTTCAATGTTTGTAAGAACAAGCGAGAAACTTAAATATTTGGAATTTTGTGGAGTAATTTATAATAAATTAATGCTTGAAAATCTTTATGAAAACACTACAATTACTGCCCTAAGTCTTAATAATAATCATTTTAATTCAGAAGGAAGAAAGATATTAATAGAGGTTCTTTGTAGAAATACCACTTTGACGTCTCTAAGTCTTTTTAAAAACCCTTTTGATCCTAAAGAGCCTGAAGATGGAAAAACATTTGCTGAAACTCTTTCCAAAAATTTCACTCTGACTTCTTTAGATCTTCGTTGTAGTCCTCTTGGTTCTGAGGGTGTAAAAGCATTAACAGATGCACTTTGTAAAAACACTAATCTGACTTCTTTAAATCTTGAAAATAATCAACTTGGATCTGAAGGAGGAAAAGTATTAGCAAAGGCACTTTATAATAACGTTACTCTAAAATCTTTAAATCTTTATGATAATCATCTTGATTCGGAAGGAGGAAAAGCATTAGCGGAAGCATTTAATACAAATACATCTTTGACTTTTTTAAATCTTAGACAAAATCAACTCGGTTCTGGAGGAGGGAAAGCAATAGCAGAAGCACTTTGTAGGAACGCTGCATTGACTTCATTGGATCTTGGATACAATCAAATTGGTTTCGAAGGAGGAAAAATTTTAGCAAAGGCACTTTGCATAAACGCCACTTTGACATTGTTAAATCTTCATGGTAATGAACTTGGTTCAGAAGGCACAAAAGCATTTGCAAGAACTCTTTGTATAAATAATACATTAACATCTTTAAGTCTTGGACAAAATCAACTTGGATTAGAGGGAGAGAAAGCATTAGCAGAAGCACTTTGCAAGAACACTACGTTAAAATCATTAGATCTTTATGGTAATCAAATTAGAGCAGAGGGAGGGATGGCATTAGCGGAATCACTTTGTAAAAACACCGCTTTAACATATTTAAATCTTTGCAACAATTTAATTAGTTCGGAAGGAGGAAAAGCATTAGCTGAATCACTTTGCAAGAACACTACGTTAACATCGTTAAATATTTATAATAATAAACTTGGATATAAAGGAGTAATGGCATTATCAGAAGCACTTTGTAAAAATACTGCTTTAAAATCTCTAAATCTTGGGCTTAATAAGATTGATTCAGAAGCAGGTAAAGTATTAGCAGAGGTTCTTTATATAAACACTACTCTGCGTCATTTAGATATTTCTAATAATCGACTTGGTTCTGAAGCAGGAAAAGCATTAGCAAAGGCGCTTTGTATAAATACTACTTTAACATATTTAAATCTTGATTATAATCAACTTGGTTTTGAAGGAGGAAAAGCATTAGCAGAGGCACTCTGCAAAAATAATACTTTGACTACCTTAAATTTTGCATACAATCAAATTAGTTACAGTGATAAAAATATATTAAAAAATATTCTTTGTATGAATACTACCTTAATCTCCCTGGATTATTAAAATAAACAAACGTTATTTTAAGAGAAAAGCGAAAAAAGCGGTAATAAAGGTTGTTACATAAATGCCCTTTGTTTCTTGAATCTTTATAATTTACATTAATAAATACGCAATATGTAATTTAGATGAGGTGTAATTGGATTGTATGTTATGTATAATCTGATGCTAGTGCACCGAATTAGAAATTTGTTTAGCCGAATACATAAATGAAATTAATTACTAGATATATACTGAATTTGTACTTCAAATTCTGGATAATATATACAGTCAACTATTGATATAACGGAAATCTGAGCTGGCCTAAAAACTCCGTTATATAGCATATTCGTTATATCTATATAACGGAATAGGCTTGCCAAATATTAAATTCCGTTATTGACCTATTCAGGCCAGACTTTTTAAAGTCCATTAGAAAATCGTAGTCATAGAACTGTGCCCTGATTGATTGTCATCCGATGCATTATATAAATTCGTTATATATATAGGTTAGAAGTTTATAATAAAATCAGTAAGTGGGCTAGTAAAGATTGCCTATAAAAATTCGGTACTTCACGTTTGATCCGTTAAACCGGTGAATCCAGTGTAAGAGTGTCCGTATATCGATAGTTGACTGTTACACTCTAAAGTTGCCGAAACTTTAATTTGTGCGTACGTACGTACGTAAAAATAGTGACGGCGCAGGACTTTCCCGGCACGTGATCATATAATAACGTAACACGATTATTAATTATTATATACTGTATTATAAAGTCTGGAAAAATCTTACTGTATTGATATAATCGAGATTTTAAAAACTAATTCGTAATTTGCTTTGCTTTTAAGATCAAACATTTGGTTCTATAATCAACGAAGCTTGTTTCTTATTAAATTTAGTCAAGTAAAAATGTTTGTTAAATATGAGCTTATGTCAAATAAAATAATCACTAAATGGATTAAAAGTTCATCGTTCATTAGCAAAGGTTGGTCTAGTTATATTTGTATTTCAAAATTCCAATTCTTAATATTCGATATATATTGTGCTATTGCGGTCACGTCATTATTTATTTATAGTATTCACATATTAATATATATATAAATTTTTAATATACAGTATACACTTTCAAAAAAAGAAATCATAATTACATCCAAAAAAAGGATCTCTATTAGCTTGATGAAATTCATATTAATTATATTTCATTTCACCGAAAGCCAAGAAAAAAGCACCATGAAGAACATTACCCAAAGCGAAATTACTAATAAATAATAATGAAGAAGATAAATAACCCTCATCACAATATAAATAAAAACTAACATAACCAACATGTAAATATATCTGAAATACGAAAGGTAATATAAAAACGTACAATGTTTTTTCATAAGACTTAGTACAACAAACGATTAATATGAATAATGGAATAGCGAATAACATAGAAAGGATGCTAACCATTTGAAAAGTATACATATAACCAACAGAAGGATATTTAATTTTCATAGATATTTGAAAAATCATTTGAATAATATAGATAATAGTAAAGAAAATGATTTGAATAATGGTGAGAGGACCTGATAACATTAGATGATGAGTTTCTTTCTCACGTGCTTCTTTTTCAGCTTGAGATTTTATATTAGCAGCATGAGAGTTTACATTAGCACCATAAGGGGCTAAATAAGTGTTATCAACATAAGGGTTGTTTGAAAAATGTAAAGGCTCAAAAAAATAGGGCATAAGATTATCCTTAGATTTGGAACGAGACGTAACACAAGTAACATAAATAATCCTTACAAAATTAGTTAAAGCACTCGCAGCACAAATAGAATACATTACTATTGAGCATCTACGAAGCAATTCAGGCAAAACATCATTATTAAGCATAAAGAATCTGGTTGTCATGTAGGTCATAAGACATATTACTCCTAATAATTGTGAGGATGCGGTGAGAATTATGTATCTTCTTAGTTGAGCAGACCATGAAGTATCATCTTTGTCAGGACTTCGAAAGAAAGTCAGAAACAAGCCTGTGGTGGCGGATAAATAATTTCCAAATGCGACAGTTGCGACACTATGAACTATAGTACCGCATAGAGTTGAAGCGAATGATTTGCTAATAAAGAGTAATAAAACGATGCATTTTATCATGATGTACTTCATCATAGTGTATATGAAAGAATTAAACTTATTAAAATATCTTTTATATATGTTAAGTAGGAAAGTAATTATATTAGGGATAGGTGAAGGTAAGATTTTATTTCATTCTTACTACAAAGATTATCCTTCAATGATCGATACTGTAGCGATCTGATCACCATTGGATTAACAAGATTCCTTTACTGATTTTACTGCGGACAATGACTATGATGTTCGGTTTAGGTGACAGAAATAGTGGCTGTAAATGATCTCTAATTTGTAGACAATATAGATCATCATTGAATTCATAAAAGCTAAGCATCTTCTATTTGAGAGGCGTTGCTAATGTTTAAAAATCATAACGATAAGACATGCGTAAATCCATAGGAAAATTTGTGCAGAACAGATATGAATCGTTGTCGATTTCGTAGAAGGAAACGTTTAATGGAGTTATCACAAAGGTAAAAGATAGTCGAATTGGTGACCCTGTGTTTAATATTATGAAAATGAACATTTTGAGATTCTTCATCTAGACAATTGAATTAGCATTATTAAAATATCATAAGTTATTGCGAATAGATTTTATATGCTGTTTTTAGCAAATAAGATAAATGTCCGACAGAACCCGAATTCATATTCATTGGTTATTTTGAGCTGTCATTTTCGAAAGCCTTAATTTCTCTCCCACTTCTTATTGGATGCCATTTCTGATTGGGCAAAGTCAGGGACCCGTAAAATTTTGGAAATAAATTTTTCCAAATTTTTCCAAATTTTTGACTTAATCCCAAGATTTCCAAATTTTTGTATTTAACGCAAATTTTTCCAAATTTTTG